TTTTTTCTATTTTTAAAAAGTACAAAATGCTGAGCTGAAAACTATATCATTATTATACTTGTCCATTCCAAATTGCCTGCAAGGAAAGCTACAAATTTCAAATTGTCTGCAAGGAAAGCTACACATTTCAAGTTGGAAAGCAGGATTCAGATTGGTAATTTGGATTAGAATTCACAAATAGTTCAAACTAGTAAAGCAATCCCTAATGTCTCTTTTCTAAATGGGCAATCAAGACCCTAATCTTACAATAAAGACAGTAAATGCCCAGAAAATTGAAATCTAGCCATTTTGTAGCACCAAATTAAAACCCAGAAAGAATTCCGTGCAATACACTCCAGTCCTGCTTCTTCGATACAAGCTTCCTAGCAGGGCAGCACACGAGACTGCAAAGTAATAGACAGCAGGAAGGATGGAGGTACCTCATGGAGACAATTCTGGAGAAGAAGGAGGTCATCATAAAGGTTATGAAGGAATTGCCTGGAAAAAAGCAGTCTGGGAATCCCCAATTGTTCAGAGTCAGACCATGATCCTGTCAAGACCCTCGTGGAGAAAGTTAGCTTATGCTCACTGCCAAATTCAAGCTGGAATAAAGCTGTGCTTGAAGGGAACTTGGTGGAATAACAAGGAAGATATCATTGAGAAATCATGTATTAGTAGCTAGTTCCCATATTCAGTGGATATTCAACGGCAGAAGAATCACAAGCAGCAGCATTTGGATTGAGTGGGTGGGTAATTGCCTCTGGCTGGAAGCTGACTTTGGTCCACTTGCTTCTGGCCACACCCCTTAGCTCCCTACTACCCCACCTGCTTGATCCTGGCTGATTTGTGGCTGTGGCCACCAAAGCTGTTCCTCCTCCTCTCCTCCTGACTTTCCTGCCCGCTGCCACTGTCCCCACTCCATCTGGGCTGCTCCATTCCTTAGAAAGCAGCTGCTTCTAGGGAAGGGAAGGGAAGATGAATTAATGAAGAAAAGCAAACTGTGGAGATGACAAGTAGCAGCTACCCACAAAGGAGCCCTATTACAAAAGCAAGCAGTGCACTAGAATGGCCCGCGTCTTCCTGAAGCCACAGGCCCAACACAAAACCTTCCACTTCCTTGGTCTGTTCCCAAGAGGCGCATTTTCCCTCAAGCACATTAAAGACATCACAAAACAACATAAAATCATGAGAAAGCATATCTTTTCCCCACCATCCTCCTGCCCCACAAAAGAAACTGCAAGGCAGAATAGGGGCACAGCTAGGACAGATCAAGCTGGAGATGTTAAGGCAACTAGGGTATATAAGAAATCTGAGCACAAAATGGCAGGATTTTAAAGCTGGTATACACGAATATCTAGATCTCAGGACACTGAAACCACATTTTTTACTAAAAGGCATCAAAAAATTATCAGTCAAAAGAGAGCTGCTTTAACTCACTCAAATATGAGCCATTCACTGTAGCAGACAATCCATATTCCTCTGCTCTCAACAGAACTAACATAATTTTTCTTAGTTAATACATCTATTTCTAGAAGAAAATCTTTCCAAAGACTCACAACACAAAAAACTCACAAATTTTTCCAAAGACTCTGTGAAGGACTCTGTGAAGGAACTTATATGCGAGCTTTTTAATTTGCAAGGTTTATGCCACTCTTAGATCAAAGTTGTGGAACAAACTGTTTCCTCCTGGCTCCTCCTTAGTTCCTACAACTTTTACACTCTGCAGCAGGGGTGTCAAACTCGCAATGTTATGTGATGTGTCACGATGTATCGTGACTTTTTTTCCCATTGCCGGCAATGGGGTGGGCACGGTTTCAACATGACGCATCCAGCCCGCAGGCCAGCAGTTTGGCAACCCTGCTCTGCAGCTATTCAGCCCAGAGTTAAAACCCACCATTGCAGTCAAATAAATGGGTGCTGAATTCATTTCTCCATAAGGAAGAAACTGGAGTTAGCCTTGGTAAGCAGTAAAATCTTGCTTGAATTCCAACTTTCTCCAACTCTAAATGTTGGCTACATTCAGGAATAAGTACTGAGCTGAAACAACTGTTTTTTTCATAATATTTATGCCACTTAAAATAATGTTCCTTGGTCAATCCTGTGAAGATTGGACTGTATTATGATTTTGCCAGTTCCAGAGCAAGGTATTTAACCTGATCTTGTTAATCCCAATACAGATTAAAATACAGCAAAAAATCATCCAGATAGGATAAAATGTAGGGAAAAGATAATATAAGGTTTATTAAACAAACAGTACTCAGACAGGGAAATATTTTATTGTCTGTCCAAGGTCAGATTTAAGACACCTGGAGATAGAGTCAAAACATGTAAAAGCAAGTAGGCTTTATATAACATCAGATAAATCTGCACAAAATCTTCTAGAGAAATCACACATGGCTGGGTTTATACAGCAACAGATCATTTAAAAAAACCAAATTTTGACATAGCACAATACGGTAATCGCAATTGTGTTTAATGAATGAAATTCATTTATATGGCATTGATAATAGTTAATTGAAAAGGCTTTAAAGACCACTTGGAGCAATACTTCCTTATTCTGTTTTACTGAAAACAAACCTAACTTCCAAAAGAAATAAAACTCTTTCAAGACCAATGGTTTCTTATTTTGTTTTACCGAAAACAAACTAAACTTCCAAAACAAGCATAATCCTTTCAGACATCCATTTATATCCTTCAGCTGAAGAATGGAGTTTTGTCCATCAAAGTGTAAATCCTGAATAGAAGCTGGAATGACCAGTTGCCACACAGATACCTCCTTTTCCTTGTTTATTGAACCAAACCTTATTAGTCAAGCAACCTATCAAAAAGTTTATTTAAAGTTTTCCAACTTAATTTTTTAAAGTTTGTATTCCTATAACTGGAATTAGGGAATAAAGTGTAAAAAAAGACATCAATAATATAAATCATAGCTCCTGATTAATGATGAAGTTGGTACTCCACTGGGCCGGAATATATATCTGAACACCAAATCTGAATGACAAACATAATTCAAAACTGAACTAGGTAGCGCTTACTGACTGCAGAAGCTATTAATTTCAATCTTTCAATAGTTACAGCATCAATAAAAGGAAAAGCGGACTCTTTCGAAAGTCACTGTATGCATTCATTCAATCATACCATGTCAAATCAGCAGGGACTGCTTCAGAGCAGGAAATCCTGGATCTAAAAGGAGCAAAGCTTGTTATATCTAAAAGAAAGATCCTACAAATCCAATCCAGAGAAATGTGACCAAACTCAGAGAGAGTCCCCAGCAGTGCAGGGCAAAGAGTGAGGCTGGAAGTAAAAAAACAATATCCTCCAAAACAACAGTGTTTCTTTACAGATCATTGTAAAAATACAAACTAAACAATATAAAAGGAAAAAAATAGAAGGTTCAGAAAAGAAAAAATAGAAAGAAAAATAGAAAATAAAAAACAATACAGTATAAAGGGAAAAAAAGCATTTCCCCTTCTTCTTAATTATAAACAATTTTAATAACGTCACTTTCTCTTGAAATACAACAAATAAGCTCTTCTTCCTATCTCCCATTTCTTATCTATAAACAAATACTTAAAGTCTCATTTCCATCCTGATGTCATCAAAAGTCCATTAAGAGATAACAATGTATCTATTTCAACCTTGACCAAATAGACCAACATTTTATTCCTTACTTTTACTTCTAACAATCTTGATCTGAAGTCCCTTTAAATAATGTTCCTTTTATTTTTTCTTTGCCTTTTCTCACAAAATTCTTCAGAGCTTTAACAAACCTCTTCAATAAATCCATTGAAGGAAAATTATCCAGGTCACTTCCTTGGCTTGGTATTTATATACCTGATATAATCATTAAGATATCAGTTTCTTTTGTATATCCAGTGCAATATCTTTTTCCATGTCATTCTTGTAGTCTGTATTTTTTTTAAATCCACTTCAAATCAATCTCATCTTGCCAAGTAAATTTGTTCTCCTCCCACAATAGCTTTTAGACACAGTCTGTCTAGAGAGGCACACACCCTTAAATACTGTAAAACATATTGATCCAAAGAATTGCACTGGATGCCAGTTTGTTTCTAGATCCTATTCAAGGTGTGAGTGTGACCTATAAAGTCCTACATGGCATGGGGTCCTGAGGCTACCTATGGAACAGTCTTTGTCCCATTGTGGCTGGTGCCCTGAGAATCCTCTCTTTGTCTTTTTAATTAATTTCTAACAGAGTTTAATAATCTTTGACTCCTTTTAAATTCTACATTTTCTAATTTCCTAATTGTTATATGGTGTTTTTATATGTTAACAGTTTATTGTACACCACCCAGAGCCTTTCCCCAAGAAAAATGGGCGGTTCAAAAATGTAAATAAAAATAAAATAAAATAAATCCCTACTTCCTTCAAACTCATGTGATCAATCTATATAAACCAAAGGAAGTGCATACAGTGGCAGTATTGCTTGAATTTAATGAGTCTACCATCATTAATTAATGTACATATTCCCCCATTGTGCATGTGATCAGAGATAGTTTGTTTAGGCTAAAACAGGAACACATATAGAGGAGTTACAGACTGCATTCCCTATCACACCTTTAATATTGTCTGGCAATTTTAATGCAGGAATTGATCTAATGACAAGGGGAAATGAATTATTATTATTTTTCCTATAGTGTTATTTTGTCACTGCAACCAGATCAATCTTAAAAAAAAAGATTTCAAACGCAAATCTATTAGAATCTGCTATTCACCTCCAGGAGGTATTTATAAACAATTCAATTTCAGGCCGCCCATCCCTGGAATAAAGAAACCCAAGTTGATCAATCTTGACAATATACAGACTTTAGATCTGAACAATTCGACAACATGCTTTTGAACAAAATGCACATACTGCAACAAGACCTACAACATGCAAGGCTTTGTTAATATGAGCTCTTAATACCCACACTTAGCACAGAGAAGCATGAAATGGCTTACATGCTACAAGTAGCAAAGTGGAGATAGAGAGCACAATAAAACAGATGAGAGGGTGCACCAACCATTGCAAACTGCAGACATTGCCTCCAGCGGCACTTCTGTTGCTTGAGGTTCTTCCCTCCAAATTTGGGCTTGTCACAACAGAAATCACAGCGGCCACAGTCTGTTTTCAGCAGACAGGCTTCACATTCACCACACGTCTGGTTTTGCTGATTTTTGGAGGAATGCTACAAGGAGAAAAAGGGAGCTATCAAGCCAGGAAGACTGTGCTGCCAAGCCTAGGACAATATCTAAATAATCCAGTTATTTCTAAAAAGCGCAAAGTTCATAAACTCTGTACTATGCGAGAATTAGGAAATAAATCTCCCTCAAATGCAATTGAAGCATAAACAATTCAACCAACTTGCATAGCTGATTGTCTATGGGGATTCTCAGTCATCCGGATCACGGTTGTCCCAAAGATGCTTTTTCAAGAGGCAACTGGACTTTCTTTGTTTTTCCTTGAAGACATTTCGCTTCTCATTCAAGAAGCCCAGAACTGAAGAAGCTTCTTGGATGAGAAGCAAAACATCTTCAAGGAAAAATAAAGAAAGTCCAGTTGCCTCTTGAAAAAGCACCTTTGGGACATCCGTGACCTGAATGACTGAGAAACTCCATAGACAATTCAACCAACTCTATTCTTTTTCAGAAACCTTAGAACCGCTGCGTGTTGCAGGAATTTTTAAACAATGAAGCCAATTGTAATTTTTAGAAAATCAAGGAAATGAAAATTGTTCCCTGGACCCAGAATGACCAATGTAGCTCTTACAGTCTAATAAGAAAGAGAGATTCAAATCTATACTTCTGAAGATGATAGCTGCAACATTCCTTGCCTTACTATAGCTATACCAGTGATCACTGAGATAAGGACACAGACCTTCATATCAAGTTTTAGCTGCTCAGAATTATGTAAATTCAACTTGTACAACATGCTGGTTTGGTCTACTATAACCACAGGGTGCTGCCTAGAAGAATCACCTAAGTATTAAGATGAAAAGTGACAATCTCCAAAGATTGTAGGAGTCTACTCCGTACACTCATATCTTCCTTTTCTTTCTTACGTCATGTATTGGTCAAGAATACATGTAATTCAAAAGATTATTGGAATTAGATCGGTTATTTTATTGCTGTCTCTGCCTCTCTGGGGAGTGACAGACTTACGAAACTCTTCAAAGCAACTTCTATAGCTACTCATTTTTCTTCCTCCCACTTTGGATATTCATAGCCCACTGGATCCCAATACAGCAGACATGTCAAACTCGCGACGTCACGTGACGTCGTGCAACGTATCAGAGCTTTTTCGCCATTGCCGGCAATGGGGTGGGCGCGGCTCTGGTATGATGAAACCGGCCCGCGGGCCGGCAGTTTGACACCCCTGCAATACAGAATCTGTTTTGTGCTTCACCTGGGAGTGGATTCGCTTTGTAATGGATGCAACTAGTCCTGATGAGTTCACCTATTTAACCTGCTTGCCCAACCTGTTAACTCAAAATTGGCCTTGTTCCAGATAAATCAGAAAACCAAAAAAAGAAACACATTTTACCACACAGTTCTTGAGTTTAGCCACAGGATGCTTGGGAGGACAGCCCATTTTCTTCCTCTCTTTCGCCACTCCCAATTGCTTCTTCTGTTGGGAGGAACCCAACATAAGTTAGTGGCTGGGAGGACTTGAAATTCTTACTTGTTCCCCAAGACATTTTTAATTCAGAAAGTTGGAAAACATTGCGGCATTCTTCTCCCACTGAAGGACTCTCTCTGCAGTTTGTTTGGTGTACTTTGAAGTACAAAAAAGACCCAGCATTACATGCCTTGTATCATAGCATAGCCAAATGAAATGAGTAAAGGACTAATTAGGGGAGAGGATTCCAAGAAGAGGTATGGAGCAGCACAGTGACTTTGATACCTTTTATTAATACCAACTAGATTTTAAACATGTACACTTAATCCTCTATTTACGACCACAATGGAGCCCAAAATTTCTGTTGCTAAGCAAGGCGGTTGCTAAGCAAATTTTGCCCCAAATTTATGACCTTTCTTACCACAGTTGTTTATTTATTTATTTATTTTATTTTATTAAATTTATATCCCGCCCTTCTCCTTGCGTACTCAGGGCGGCTAACAATCGAGTAAAAATACACAGATACATTACAAGATTAAAATTAATTAAAAGGAAATATTTAACTGTGATCTAATTAAAATATAATTAAAACCCCCTCTAAAAATTTCCCCTAGGCCAGTCCTGCAAGCTGGAATAACCATGTCTTAAGGGCGTGGCGGAAGGAAGGGAGATCAGGGATCACCCTGATCTCTGGGGGCAGTTCATTCCAGAGGGTGGGAGCTCCCACCGAGAAGGCCCTCCCCCTTGGGGTCGCCAGCCGGCACTGTCTGGCCGACGGCACCCTGAAGAGACCCACTCTGTGGGAGCGTACAGGTCGATGGGGGGTAATCTGCGGCAGGAGGCGGTCTCGAAGGTATCCGGGTCCGATGCCATGGAGCGCTTTAAAGATGATGGTCAACACCTTGAAGCGCACCCGGAAGGCCACCGGCAGCCAATGCAGCTCGCGCAACAGCGGTGTTATATGGGAGCGACGAGTCCCTCCCAACACCGCCCGCGCGGCCGCATTTTGGACTAGCTGGAGCCTCCGGGTGCTCCTCAAGGGGAGCCCCATGTAGAGAGCATTACAGTAGTCCAGGCGGGAGGTGACAAGGGCATGAGTGACCGTGCGTAGGGCGTCCCGGTCCANTTGGAGGAATGCTACAAGGAGAAAAAGGGAGCTATCAAGCCAGGAAGACTGTGCTGCCAAGCCTAGGACAATATCTAAATAATCCAGTTATTTCTAAAAAGCGCAAAGTTCATAAACTCTGTACTATGCGAGAATTAGGAAATAAATCTCCCTCAAATGCAATTGAAGCATAAACAATTCAACCAACTTGCATAGCTGAATGTCTATGGGGATTCTCAGTCATCCGGATCACGGTTGTCCCAAAGATGCTTTTTCAAGAGGCAACTGGACTTTCTTTGTTTTTCCTTGAAGACATTTCGCTTCTCATTCAAGAAGCCCAGAACTGAAGAAGCTTCTTGGATGAGAAGCAAAACATCTTCAAGGAAAAATAAAGAAAGTCCAGTTGCCTCTTGAAAAAGCACCTTTGGGACATCCGTGACCTGAATGACTGAGAAACTCCATAGACAATTCAACCAACTCTATTCTTTTTCAGAAACCTTAGAACCGCTGCGTGTTGCAGGAATTTTTAAACAATGAAGCCAATTGTAATTTTTTAGAAAATCAAGGAAATGAAAATTGTTCCCTGGACCCAGAATGACCAATGTAGCTCTTACAGTCTAATAAGAAAGAGAGATTCAAATCTATACTTCTGAAGATGATAGCTGCAACATTCCTTGCCTTACTATAGCTATACCAGTGATCACTGAGATAAGGACACAGACCTTCATATCAAGTTTTAGCTGCTCAGAATTATGTAAATTCAACTTGTACAACATGCTGGTTTGGTCTACTATAACCACAGGGTGCTGCCTAGAAGAATCACCTAAGTATTAAGATGAAAAGTGACAATCTCCAAAGATTGTAGGAGTCTACTCCGTACACTCATATCTTCCTTTTCTTTCTTACATCATGTATTGGTCAAGAATACATGTAATTCAAAAGATTATTGGAATTAGATCGGTTATTTTATTGCTGTCTCTGCCTCTCTGGGGAGTGACAGACTTACGAAACTCTTCAAAGCAACTTCTATAGCTACTCATTTTTCTTCCTCCCACTTTGGATATTCATAGCCCACTGGATCCCAATACAGCAGACATGTCAAACTCGCGACGTCATGTGACGTCGTGCAACGTATCAGAGCTTTTTCGCCATTGCCGGCAATGGGGTGGGCGCGGCTCTGGTATGATGAAACCGGCCCGCGGGCCAGCAGTTTGACACCCCTGCAATACAGAATCTGTTTTGTGCTTCACCTGGGAGTGGATTCGCTTTGTAATGGATGCAACTAGTCCTGATGAGTTCACCTATTTAACCTGCTTGCCCAACCTGTTAACTCAAAATTGGCCTTGTTCCAGATAAATCAGAAAACCAAAAAATGAAACACATTTTACCACACAGTTCTTGAGTTTAGCCACAGGATGCTTGGGAGGACAGCCCATTTTCTTCCTCTCTTTCGCCACTCCCAATTGCTTCTTCTGTTGGGAGGAACCCAACATAAGTTAGTGGCTGGGAGGACTTGAAATTCTTACTTGTTCCCCAAGACATTTTTAATTCAGAAAGTTGGAAAACAGTGCGGCATTCTTCTCCCACTGAAAGACTCTCTCTGCAGTTTGTTTGGTGTACTTTGAAGTACAAAAAAGACCCAGCATTACATGCCTTGTATCATAGCATAGCCAAATGAAATGAGTAAAGGACTAATTAGGGGAGAGGATTCCAAGAAGAGGTATGGAGCAGCACAGTGACTTTGATACCTTTTATTAATACCAACTAGATTTTAAACATGTACACTTAATCCTCTATTTACAACCACAATGGAGCCCAAAATTTCTGTTGCTAAGCAAGGCGGTTGCTAAGCAAATTTTGCCCCAAATTTATGACCTTTCTTACCACAGTTGTTAAGTGAACCATCACAGTTGTTAAGTTAGTAACAGTTGATAAGCAAATCTGGGTTCCCCATGGGGATGCTGCAATGGTCAAAAGTGTGAAAGTGTGAAAAACAGTCACAAATCACTTTTTTCAGTGCTGCTATAACTTCAGCCGCTAAACGAATGGTTGTAAGTTGAGGACTACCTGCATACGGTAATTGGTTTTGAAGAACAAAGCCTTGCTTATAGTTAGATTTTTGCTTTGAATCAACAACAAAAGGGTTTTCTTCTAGGAAGAATTACTCTCAAGAGAACAAGAGAGAGAAGTAATTCTAACAACCAGCTAAATTAAAGGCCAGCTGAATATGGCTTCCAAGAAAGAATCTTGGATTGAAACTGAAATGCTTCATGGGAAACAAATGAACAAGCTCACAACTTAAGTAACACTGTATCAAATTCTATTTGTGAGAGCCCACTGCTCACAACTCAGATTCAACGATTCTGAACAAAAAACCCTTTTTGTTGCCCTCAAACTTTCTCTATGACCTTTTTAATCTCTTATAGGCTGCAGCATAGTTTAAAACCTTGCTTTATCACATACTATTTTATTTATTTTATGTTCAGATTCTTTCAAAAGGGAAAAAAAGTCAGTGGGAAACAGGCATAGTGCAAAGCAAATTGCTAGATTATAGCATTGCCTTTGTTTCTAAAGAATGGCTCCGAATTCCACAATCCCACTGAGAAGAGGGGGGAGAAAGGCCGCCATCTCCCCCCTCCACAAAAAGGCATACAGAGTATGTCCTGGGGATGATAAGTTCCCTCTCCACCTTTAATATACATTTTAAATAGAAGCTGTTTTAGATTCAGGTACAGTACACTGGGATGCTTTTTCCTCCTACTGCTGCAAGGCCCACCCAGACTACTCTTAGCAGTTCCTAGCACTGTTGTTCCTAAAACTTGCTAGAGCCCCAAATTGTTCCAGTATACAATCCCAACTACTTGGCTGGGCTGTTACGTAGATGCAGAGAGTCTGTACTTTGGGTCCTTAGTGTAGTAGACCCCTGTTTCTATTGATATGGCATTTTAGTGTCTGTTCTTGTGCTGCTAATACCAGTGCCTCAGTGATATGTTTCACTCCAGCCCTTTCCAGCCACTGGAAGAATTTCCCAATGTCTGCCATCTCACTATCTGTCAATGGTACATCCCATGCAGGGTCTTGTTTTGCCCTGGCGCTTCCTGTTTGATCTTCCTCTCATGTCTGCTTCTGCTTCAGGCATTCTCTTAGCAGCTTATCTTTGGTGCACTATTAAGGATGCATTCCTGGATGCTCTGAGTTTTATCCAAGGTAGTGGACCACTAGACCCAGCCCACCCTCTTTCCTTCTGATGTACAGTCCCTGGGTGTTGGGATGGAAACCTCCATACATAGGAGCTTCCAGGTCTCGACATGGGCAGCTTCCATACCCTCCTTTGACCAATTCACCACATTGGCAGGGTTGACCATCAGGTTGCATCTGTTGATGATATGGATCTTGTTCTTCACATTGAGCTGGCTCTTCATAACCTGTCTTATCTTTGGTGATATTTGGATGTTGCTATTTTTCTTGCCTCCTCATTGTGATTCCCATGTCACTAGTCTGTATGTCTGCTATGTGGCTCACTGGTAGTCCCACTGCACAATCTTAACTATCTTTCCTCTCTTTAGTACGATCTAGCGACTTCTCTGAATGACCTCCCAATGTCCTCCCTGTAGATCAATGTCAGGTGGATCTGTGAGTTGATGTCTTCTTCATTCGTAGCATACAGCTTTATGTCATCCATATAGAGATTGTAGTTTCACTCTTGAATTGGTAAAATTTGGAATTCTGATTTTATATATGTTGGCAGCAGCAAGACTACTCTACACATAAAAATGGAAGAATTTCTTGATTCCCACCATGGATGATTGGTTACAAAAGCTGATGGAGTTAGCAGAGATGGCTAAATTGACTGTGCTGATAAAAGAAAAGAATATAAGTACTTTTGTTTCTACTTGGAAGCCGCTTCTGAACTTTGTGCTTGAGGTGGGGAAAAAAATGATACTTTGATTTTGGATTTTACTGATTAACCTCTGAGTTGCCATGATTTTAGCCATTAATCTCATTTTATGGGAGGTCTGTGTCTATGATAGTGGTTATAGACTGCTGTTCTTGATCATATAGCCAAGCATCTCCAGGATTACAGTGGCTGTAAGGTATATCAGTCCATTGCTTTGAGTTATGGTGGTAGTAGGGTGCTAGTGGGAGCTCTATTGGCATCTTCTTATGTACTATTTGATGGTATTTCTCCACTGAGCCTTGGTAATTAGCCCTCAGAGATGACTGTAGCTAGTTTATCCATGATCTTGTGCCTCATATTAGCTGCTCTGAGCTATGGTGGAGCAGTGGTTAGAATGCCGTATTGCAGGCTAACTCTGTCCACAGCTAGGAGTTTGATCCTGACCGTCTCAAGGTTGATTCAGCCTTCCATCCTTCCAAGGTCTGAAAAATGAGAACCCAGATTGTTGGGGGCAATATGCTGACACTGTAAACAGTTCAGAAAGTGCTATAAAGCACTATGGCACCATATATAAGTCTAAGCGCTCTTGCTCCTGAGCTTTGTAATGGAGGGGATGACAGTGACATTCCAGCTACAGGTGTTGGTTGCACATCCAATTGTTCTTCAAAGTGTTCTTGAGTCTGGGATATAATGCGTAGTTGGTCTACCTCAAGTTGTGAGAGCAGTTTCCTCTTCACTGTATTGAAGCACTAGGTAACTGTTTCTCAGTTAGAGTGGATACAGGTCTTTTATCTATAGTTCCTTTATATGCTACTGCTGTTGTAGTAGCATTCCATCAGTTCCTGGTTCTCTGGTCTCATCCATGTATAGTTTGTTCCAGTAGCCCACTTAATTATCAGATTATCATGGTTCCTTAGCATCTGACACAGATTGTATTAATCCAGACAACATCCAAGTCAGCATGACTCTTCTAATTTACGTAGCTCTCATATATGAAGTAGGAAGATGAAGCATTAAGGGGTCTTTTTCCAGAGACTACCAGTAATGTAGGTATTAACCAGGATTCAAACCCCAGTCTCCCACATCCCAGGCGGCACTCTAACCACTACGTTATCCAGCCACTCTAGAGATATCTGAAGTTCCATCAATTACTCTATGAAACTACTTGGACCCTACTACAATACGAACTTTTATCAGTTTCAGCCAGTTTTAAGAACACAAAAAATTTCAAATGAGAGACAGTTAGTTGGAGCTGAAGCAATACTTGTCATGCAAGAGTAGTCCTTCCTTAAACCTGAATCAAATATACATCTAAGTAATGAGAGAGCTAACCAGATCAAATGTTATTTCATGCTTCATATGAACATCATATTACTTTCCCTCCAAACCTATCCAAAAAGAATTCAGTCTCAGATCCCAGAGTATGCTGTACTGAAATGCTGACTTCTCTTTGCTTCAGAATTCTCCACTGAAGACCACCAATACTTTCTTCTTTCTCTTTTTCTCTGTCCCATTTTGGGGAAACGTATTATGTTCTGGTATTATTGGTTCAGAAATTCCAATATTTCCCATAATTTCTAAGGGACCAAACTGAAATATACTTTCAACATTTTGAACTGAAGTAACTTCAGTCTTTGCCAAACGAGTAAAGGCCAGAACATTTCATCACTGTTCAAAGGAGCAGAAATATATAGTACAAGTAGGATTAATGTGGGGATGGTTCTATTTTATAATTCCTTCACTAGAAAACATTCAAGATTCCTGTGTCCAAGTGGATCTGGGTTTCCCTAAAACTACGCCACAGGAATATTTACTGTTCAATTTGCAAGAGAAACCAGCCTATTTGATATATATATTACCCTATTGCATACATACCCTATGCCTTACAAGAGGATTGCCTCCTGGATCCCTTTGTATGGTAGGTTTCCATTTCTAGAATAAGAAGCAGGACAGAACAAGTGATAGAATTAGCAAACGGAAATTACAATCTAAGTGGAAACATAGGCGACATCCAAAAATGAGCAAAAAAAAAAAAAAAAGGAAGTGGACAGAAAGAAAGGATTGAAGTAAGGCTAAGCTGGCTTCCCCAACACCTGTAAGTTAACCGAGTGCATTTTCTTTTAAAGTTAATGAAAGACATTTTTTCAAAATTTTATGCATGAGTAAAGGGGAAAAGTTAATTTTTAAATGAGGAATAAAAATAATAAAAAAATTGCTTTATAATTATATAAAAATTACCCCATCTATTGCACTTAGTTCAGGAAAAAAAAACAAGTATTTTCAAATGCTCTTCCATTGACATTTGTTCCGCCCAATTTCCAGATTTAACAATTGAACATTTTGAAGAACATTGGGGGAAAAATGATTCTGAATTATTTTATCTTTTAGAATGATTACAGCATATGTTGTGATTCAATTTTGCTCAATCCACATACATAAATTATAAGTTTTAGGTAAGGCAATTTATATTATAGTACTAATCTAATGTCCAAATATGGTGGTAAGCTTGTAATACTGTGGTCATATTTTTCTAAATTATATATATACATACACAAACACACACACACACACACGGCCATTTTTTTCTTCCTTCTTGAATGGCAATAGCAAAAATGCATGTGCTTATGTAGCACAGATGCTACTACAGGCAACCAGGTACTACCACAATTGTGTTTCTCCTTTTTATTCACTTGCAAGGAAACAACCCTATGGCTTAGTTCTTTATGGTGTGTAGATAGCAAGACATTTATGCCTTTGAAGAGATAATCTTTGATATCTGGGAGTAACCTGTTTCTGCATGTACCAGCCTTTGTCTCTATAGATTGGGGCTTTACCCCAAAGAAGTTCAATGTGAACTTTAATCATCTTCAATCCCCAGACCATTATGCAAATTTCCCTGAAAGAACAGGTATGCAGACCACTTACTGCGGTAGCAGAGTGCCTCCGGTGGGGGTGGCCTGGGGCCAACTGAGCCTTTGGAAATTGCCCACCCTGACAGCCAAAGAAATGAAGACAGCAAAGAAAATGAGAGTGAAGATAGTCAGTGTGCTCAAAGATATTGGAAAGATCCTTGCCTGAAACTTCTTTATAAGAAAGCTCTTCAATTTTTTCATTAGGTTAATAGTGTGCTGATGGAAATGTTCCATAAAGCACTTTCAAAAAATATAATATATATATATTGCATTCCATACTGACCTAGAAGACTGACAATGTGAGACCCATTTTCCTAACTCTAGCAGCCTTAGAAAGAGAGTTTATAAAGAACTAGAAACCCATGCTGTTTGGGCCATCATTTCAGAGATATTTCCTGACCTAAACGAACAAAAAACAGAAAGGCAAAAAACCAGTAGGAATAGGAACGACTTCCATGCTCCTACCATCTTCCCCATTGTATTTCCTTGTGGGAATATGGCAGGAAGCATGAAAATTTCCCTTCCTTCCTTCCCTGCCCTTTCCAGCAGGCATCAGGATGAGACTTATTCTAACAGACCGAGGAAGAAAAACAAGGGATGAATAAAGACACACAAAGCTGAAGGAGCAACAAGAACGTCTAACTCCAAGTTCATTATTAGTCAGACTCAATATAATTGTTTCCCAAGAACCTTGTGCTATCCAATGTTAGACTAAAGAAATGTGCCTGACCTAAGGCAGAGAAGGACACAGAAACCAAGCTCCTGTTGGTCCAAATATTACATTACAGTTTTGCACTAGCTTCCAGTGTTTATCATCCTTGAAATTAATTCCACCTCATAAACTGGTCTGCTTCCAGGATCAACATATGTAACTAAGGGCAGGGGTGGGAGTGGAGATTCAGATCCCTGTGTAGAACATTAACTGTCATTTTTATTTGCATGAAGAAGTAGAGCCACTCACTGCGGTTAAAGTTGGCTTTTTCTGCCCACACTGTTTTGGGGTGAAGACATTCTTTGCTGAAGATTCCTGGGATCAACCGAGAAACATAGGGCCAAGTTGTAGCAAATTAAGGAGAAAATCTATGCATAGATGCACACACCGCACAGGCGTCTTCCCAAAAACAAAGATGGAAAGCCATGCACAAAAGCCACTTTCTGACTCTCTACGTGCCACATTCCAATTTGCACAGGCACTATGAACTAAGAAGCAATCCACAATGAAAAGGGATGTTGTTGCTTGAGAGAAAAGAGTTCCCTCTGTAATCCCGCTTGGCAGGCTGTAGCTTTGCCACTCTCTTGCTGCTGATTCATTCAAAAATCATGTTGGAGCTAGAAAACCATGCAAGCAGAACAGAGGAGCAAAACAAAATGAAGTGGAATGAAAATGAGCAAAATGCCAAAGCCGAGGAAGGTCACATAGCAGGTACTTACTGCTATAAGTTTCTTCGAGTTGCAGCTGTCCTTCTTGGGTGGGATTTTTTTCTGGAAGGATCAAGAGCCATTTAGTGCTAGAATGACAGGGTTAACATGCACCTCAGATACATTTCATGTTTAGGAATCACTCCTGTGGAATCTGTGTTCACTGACGTCTTTAACCAGGGATCTCAGATTCAGGATAAAAGCATGCTGTGATTATTTCCAGTTAATGCAGCCACGCATTATTACATTGAATTCTTACATTTCCTGATCATTTCCATACAGAGCAAAGATTTTTACAGACCCAGGAGAAGGACATTTGAGCACACAAAGGTCTAATCGTTAGACTGGAATCCACAGGCACCCTCAGATTTTAAAATTCACATCAAACACACCAAAAATTCAAAATGATCTTTATATATCCTGAGGGAATGTTCCTTACATAACTCTTCCTTAGGGATTATATAGCCCAAGATTCTTTTTATGCCTGCATGTTTCAGAGAGAAGGGAATCGGCCAGCATACAGAAACTTTATCTTCATCTTGGTATACTTGACAAGCAAGTCTAGTTTCTCCTTGGATGTCCATAAAGTCCAGGATGACTGTTTATATGTAGCTTTGGATCAGTTTGCTCAGTACATAAATAAGTGTACTGTTCTTCATTCATTTTGTTTAATTGAATTCTCTTTATTTAATTTTAGGACATGTGGAGAACAGATCACATTTTAGGTTATATTTACGCAGAAATAATTGGAAATTCAAAAGGGTTCACAAACATTTAAGCACTATCTTATTTATAATGCTCTAGTTACTAAAAAAAATGATACACCAGGTATCAATAGCTTATCAGCCTCTAGAAATCATAACTGAGGTTGCTGCTATAGTGCTACTTACTTGAAAATCAGTTCTATTAAGTCAAATAGGTCTTGTATACAAAATAATCATGAATAATTAGGTTCTTCTCTGACTTCCTTCATGCTTTTCAGTGTAAGTTAGGCTAGAAGCTCATATCTTTATAAATAAAAGCAAAGAGTTTCAGGAGGCTAACATCTTATTTCAGCACCATACACTTTTATTCCCCTTCAGAATAGCAATATAATTGAGCATACCCCATCTGGTTTATACTAACAGTATTCTTAAACTAGAGGACCCAATAACGGTTCATTCCAAACTAACAAAAAAGTCACAATTAGGAATAACAGTATGTACAACAATATTGAAAGAAAATGCCTCAATGCCTACGTAGTCCAGAAATAAGTCTGGAAAGAACAGCATAAATTCTGAAAGGCAAAAAGCATTGAACAAAGAATCATACATGTCATAATAAAGATGAACTAAAATGTTTTTAGAAATATCCTTATGTCACCTGACCCTCTCACAACTGTCTCCCTATTCATGAAAATGCCAGCTACAAGGATTTTGGGGCACGGCAAGATTCTATCTTATCTAGATTCTCAGCTTTCACCTCTTTGCTAAGCTACTCTACCAAGCTACTAAAGACTCTGATTGGGAACCCTTTGAATGGATGCGGGAGTGCCAGATTGACCTGTGAGTCAAGAAAGTCCTTGTGCAGGCTCCTGCATCGGGCATTCCCAATGTTACTAAGCTGTTTACAATGTATGTGTCTGAAAACAAAGGAATGGCTGCGGGAATACCCTGTAGTATATTCTTCCAAGCAACCTGACCCTCTTGCCAAGGCTGCCCAGGGTGCCTCCGGGTAGCTGCATCCATTGTCTGGGGCTGAACAACTGACATTTGGAGCCCCCTATAATGGTTGAAACTCCTCACTCTGTACGGAAACTGTTAAATTAAACGGGGGGGGTGTCATTGGTTAACAGCAAGTTGATTGGTGAAGTATTAAACTGCTCTTCTCAACAATCCTCATGTTCAATTAAAGAGGAACAGGTAAGGGAAGCAGCAACTCTCCCTATCGGGACTTCAGCCCAAAAGGCTGCACTTATTGCCTTGACTAAAGCCTTGGAGTTATCAAATGGTGTGGTTGTCAATATTTATACTAATAGCAAATTTGCTTATGGTGTAGTACATAACAATAACAAAACAACAGAACCTTGGAGATCTTCTAGTCTAACCCCAGGCTCAAGCAGGAGACCCTATACCATTTCAGACAAATGGTTGTCCAATCTCTTCTTAAAAACCTCCAGTGTTGGAGCATCCACAAATCCTGAAGGCAAGTTGTGCCACCGATTAATTGTTCTGTCAAGAAATTTGTCCTTCTAACCGTCAGGAAATTTCTCCAACATGCTCATGGTACTTTATGGAAGGAGCGTGGTTTGTTAATTGTGCAGGGGAGCCCAGTTAAATATGAATCTGATATGCTATGCCTTTTGGATGCCAATCTGCTTCCAAGCAAGATGCTTGGAAGGGCCCATGGTAAGGACAGTAAACATGGCAGAGGTAATGCTCTTGCTGATCACATTGCAAAGTCTGCTGCTTCGGGTCCCCCTTTCCCCTTGGTATGTGCACTCATTCCTTTCCAATTACCTGTGCCACACCCTTCATATACTACTCAAAATGGGCACAGAGCTCATAAAATGGGTGCTGCTTTACAGGGGAATTGATGGGAGAAAGATGGTATGAAACTCCTCCCATTTCACGAGCTATTGGTCCTCTTAAGAAAAGTACATGCAAGTAACGTATTGGGGTTCCCAGGCCATGGCTGAATTTTTGTTAAAAGATTATATTTATCCTGGGATTTTTGTAAAGGTCAGTGGTCAGGCAATGTGCTGTTTGTCAAACGAACAATCCAGGAAAAACACAGAAGCGCCAGCTGGGTAAGCTTAGGTATGGTTATGCTCCGGACAGTTTTTGGAAAATAGATTTTACTGAACTGCCCCACAAACAAGGTTTGTGGTATTTGATAGTTTTGGTTGATGCCTTTTCTAGATGGGTTTGGACTCCCCCTCTCGCTCTCTTGCAGATGCGGACTAGGCCCAAACAGTTAGTGGGTCTGTCCCCTTTTGAAATTATGTATGGCAGGCCATCTGCTTATCATATCAGTTCTATATCTACCTCCCTTCCCACCTTCAGGGACCATATCCTTCGAGAATATGTTCACTTTCTGATTAACAATGTTTCTTCCATTTCTGAAGCTGTTTAATACTGTTCGTCCTCCTGATCTAGGTCACTTAGTGCATTCATTCTGCCCTGGAGATTAGGTTCTTGTCAAATTCTGGCATTCTGGTGATCCTTTAACTGAAAAGTGGAAGGGACCTTATACTGTTCTTCTCACCATCCATACTGTGGTCAAGGTTACAGGAGTCCAGACCTGGATTCATCACACCTATCTAAAGGCATCTTCTCTCCCTGCTGCTGATGAACTTTGGATTGTGACCTTGGTACTGAGGTTGACCTTGGGCTGAAGCTCATATTTAAACATATACGCCCCTTTGTTATGTGTCCAAACACCACCGTAGTTGTTGTTTCACTTCAGGACACTCTGTGATATGAGCTGAATCCTCTATATTGTTTCCATATCAGCCCTGGGACTTTTTGTGCTTCCGGTTCTTTTTCTTCTCTTGCTACAGATTTGTTTGCTCTTTACTGCCATTTACTTCCATGCTGACTCAGGAATTCTGGGAGTTGAAGTCCACAAGTCATAAAAGGTTGCCTACCCCTTACCTAGAGGAACATGATCATCCTCAAAGGGGTGAACAATACCCGATACCATCATTGGGATTGTGGAGTGCCAATATGCATATCCAGAAGCTGGGTAAATATCTTAAATGTTACTGGGTGCTGGATTTGCACCCACATTCCCATTGTACAGGTAGTCCTCAACTTACGACCACAATTCAGCCTAAAATTTATGTGGCCAAGTGAGAAATTTGTTAAGTGAGTTTTGCCCCATTTTTACAACTTAACATTTGATAAGTGAATCACTGCAGTTGTTAAATTAGTAACCCGGTTGTTAAGTGAATCTGGCTTCCCCCTTGACTTTGCTTGTCACAAGGTTGCAAAAAGTGATCACATGACCCCGGGACACTCCAACCGTCATAAATGTGAGTCAGTTGTCAAGCAGCCGAATGTAAATCACGTGACCATAGGGATGCTGCAACGGTCCTAACTGTGAAAAAAGGTCATAAGTCATTTTTTTCAGTGCTGTGGTAATTTCAAAACGGTCACTAAATGAATGGTTGTAAGTTGAAGACTACCTGTATTTGGCCCAAAGAAACAGACTATTATTAAACTTGGAGCATGGATCCAAGATCATGCCACTGTCTGCTTGAAACATTCCAATCCTAGCTCAAAGGCAAAGTTGGAAGCTTATGAGCAGTGTGATTGTACAGTATCTGGGTGGTCAATATTACCAGTTATTGGACTGACTGAATAAAATGGCATAAGGCCTTTGGGAAGAACACTGATCCCCACCCTTCTGTTTTATGCAATTTCATTAGCACTATGAAAGTAGTTGCATATGAAAATATACATGCTGAGGACCACAACTTGCTGAGCAGCCCCTACCCCAATTGGTGGTTCTTATGTGGTAAGTTTGCTTATAAATATTTGCCACCTTTCTGGTCTGGACTTTGCACAGTGGGCACAGTTATCTCTTCCCTTTGAGTAATAAACCAGAAAGAGTAAAACTATTGGATCAGCAATAAAGTGTGCCTTGGTGCAGGATTCGGTTCAGGAAAACTCTGTCAACTATAAAACACATGATACTGGAACCGTAATTGGCCGAGGTAGGATTTAATTATGTATCTATTGTACCACTGGGCAACTGGGCAGAAAGTACAGTATGTTTAATTTGACTATAAAGAGTATGCCCCAACTGAATAAAGAAGAAGGTGAGATTAGGGAGGTTGTTTTCCAGAACCAGCATGCTCTAGACCAGACATGTCAAACTCGCGACGTCACGTGACGTCGCGCAACGTATCGGGACGGTTTTGCCATTGCCAGCAATGGGGTGGGTGCGGCTTCCGGATGACGCGTCCAGCCCGTGGGCCGGCAGTTTGACACCCCTGCTCTAGACATTGGGTTAGCAGCAAAAGGAGAGTACTATATTTCAAATTATCAAGTTGATATTAATCATATTATTCACTTCATGGAAAAGATTGCAAATAGATTCATGGATGCTGACCTCTCAGGACGTTCTTGGGGATATTTTATTGGCTCACAATTGGCTGCCTGGTTGGGATGGCTTAAGGAAATATTCTTAGCTTTACTCTTCATACTCTTCTGGATTCTCTCTCTCTCTCTTTTTGTTATTGTATACATCTTTAAACCAGTATACATGCAGGCTTGTCCTAAGACAGTGGTTCTCAACCTTTTTAATGCCGCGACCCCCAACCGGTCGTAAGTCGAGGACAAAACCGGTCGTAAGTCGAGGACAAAACCGGTCGTAAGTCGAGGACTACCCAACCGGTCATAAGTCGAGGGCTTTCCCTGCCCGGGAGCGCCGCGCATGCGTGGTTCCGCCCCCTGCGCCGGCCGAGGCGTAGCTGGCAAGCGGCAGAGACGGAGCAGGCCGACCACCAGCTGGCCCAGCCCAAGGGAGGTAAGGCACCCGCCGGAAAAGGGAAAAAAAATGGCGGACAGCCTTGCTTGGCGACCCCCGTGAAATGGTCGATTGACCCCAAATGGGGTCGCGACCCATAGGTTGAGAACCACTGTCCTAAGAAATTCTACAGGGCGACTGCACTTCCTATTTTCCGAGGTGATACTTCTCCGCATTGCTCAAAGTATCGAATGGGGGATTAAGATGATCAAGATTTCTTGCATTGAAATGGCTGAATTAAATGAGTTGTAATAACATGTACTTGTCCTTAGCTCAGGGGAGGCATGACAGGAAATCAGATAGGGTGCAGTAGACTTGCTAAGTACGGTTCTTTCTAAATGTACTTGGCGAGCAACGACATTGTAGTAGCTTCTGCTTTTTATCTACTTTTGTCTACTTTCGTGCAAACAGTTGTATTTCCTGCTTGTATAACCAAGTAAACTATAAAGGTATGCTTTGTCCAGATCTGAATAATCAAATGACTTGGAGAGAAGTGGACTCTACCTCTTTGTTTGTGCCAGGCCAGACCTAGGAATCCTGCTTAACAAGAACTAAACATTAAATGTGTCCTTCCCATTTGGCTTTCTTGCTTTAAGCCAAGCCTCTATGGTCCATTAGAAGTACAAACTTTGAAAAATTTCTCTAGCATAATCTTGATTTTTTTTTTAAAACTTCAGTTTGCAAAGGACTGCTCCCTAAATGAAATAGGCTGGTGCTGGTTTCTCTTTCTATTATATCCGTTCTAGAAGCCAAGGTGGCGCAGTGGTTAGAATGCAGTACTGCAGGTTAATTCAGCTCACTGCCAGGAGTTCGATCCTGACCTGCTCAAGCTTGACTCAGCCTTCCATCCTTCTGAGGTCGGTAAAATGAAGAGCCAGATTGTTGAGGGCAATATGCTGTAAAGCACTGTGGTAGTCTAAGTGCTATTGCTACTTCAACCATTCCTTATAAAGAAGTTGAAAACTAGTTGGATCAAGCACACACCTTGCGTTTGAGACAACGGCGCTTGAGACATTTCCACTGACGTTTCATGCCAGGTCTCTGCTTCCGCAAACAGATCGCACAGGTCCCACAGTCCTCAGTTATCTTGCAAGCCTGACACATGCCACACTCAAGGCCCTGCAAACCAGAATTGAGAATGGAGGTAACTGTTAAAGCTTAAGACCATCTGCAAGCCTACGTGCAGCTGGGAAGAAGCAGCAGAAAAAAAGGAAAAGCACAAACCATGGAAAAAGGGAAGGGAAGGAAAAGCAGGAAGCAGCCTATGGTACCTTTTTGACAATCTTCAAGCATCGGCGTAGCAAGCATTTGATGCCAATGTGGAACCTGGGGCTTTGGGCTCGCAGAACACATACACTGCAGATGCCGCAGTCCTGAGACATCTGGCAGGCCTGGCACACACCACAACCAATTTGCTGCAAGGGCAGAGGGGTAGGGATAAACAAGGTTCCAGGGAAAGCAATCACCTCAGTGGCCCCATCACCTCAAAAGCAGCACACCTCACCTATCTGACTGACCACATCAAAAGCATTACACTGGGTGTTCGCATCAAGCCTTTAACTGCAATTTATCAACCTCCATCTCTAAAGACATCAGGTGTTTCTTACTATTGTAAACTACTCGGTGTCACTACGAGATAGGTGGCATGTGAATTTAATAAATTATTATTGTTATATATACAAAAATGCTAAGGCAGTTGCCAGCTCCTTAATTGATATTGGCCTTTATCGGCATTAAGTTATTCCCAAGAACCTAGGATGTTGTAATGTATCAACATAACATATGAGCAGATCCAAGTTGTATAGCCTTTTGTAACTGACAGATGGAAATTTGGTCAATACATAGATTTTCTGGGTGCTGTCCAAAGTCTTTTGGTATGGCACCCAGTATGATGATAACCCCTGGGACTACTACATTTGTTTTATGCCATGATCTTTCAGTTTTGATTTTCAGATCTTGATACTTTGTGATCTTCTCCAATGTTTTGTCTTCTATTGTACTGTACTCTGGTATTGCCACATCAATTGTCCATACTTCCTTCTTTTCAACCACAGTTGTGGTCATTAACCCATGATCCTCTATCATCTTGGGCCAAGGTTCTCTGCAAAACACACTACTTAGGACATTTTGGCTGGAGATGGGGGCAATTATAATGCACAACCTGTCAGACTATTTTGTATTATAGCTCTATATTATATTCTGACATGGTCCCAGAAGCTTTCTTCCTCCAAGAGGCAAACAAAATCTTAATCTTTTCATCTTGAAATCCGATCTTCAGCCCTACTGTTATCGATAAAGTACATGCTTCTGTACCTCTGCAATACTCTAATACAGGTAGTCCTCGACTTACAACAGTTTGCCTAGTGACTGTTCAAAGTTACAATGGCACCGGAAAATGTGACATATGACCGTTTTTGACAGTTACGGCCTTTGCAGCATCCCCACGGTCACATGATCAAAATTCAGATGTTTGGCAACTGGTTCATATTTATGACGCTGTTCTGGGGTCATGTGTTCCCCTTTTGCGACCTTCTTCTATATAAGTTTTTTTATTCGTTTTTTCCATACATACAGTAGTAATTTTTCAACCAACCACTTTTGCGACCTTCTGACAAGCAAAATCAACGGGGAAGCCAGATTCACTTAACAACCATGTTACTAAATAAACTGCAATGTTTCACTTAACAATTATGGCAAGGAAGGTCATAAAATGGGGCAAAACTCACTTAACAAATGTTTCCTTTTGCAACATAAATTCTGGGCTCAACTGTGGTTGTAAGCCAAGGACTACCTGTACTCTAAATCCAAAATAGAGCACCTTCTAGTTGGGCTGGACAAGCTGGCTACAGATTATAGAAAATAGAAGGGGCAAAAACATCTAAGAGTCTCTCACTGGGGGAGCCTCTTCTAATATATTCCAGTATACAGCCAAGTTGTGCTTCAATTACAAACAAATCGATTTCAAATTTGAGATGGAATGGTAGCTTTTCAGCTCTTCCATTTTCCAGCTCTATCCGTCTGTCTATCTGGAGCAAAACCATTCTTCCATCAGTTGCAAAGCTGATAGCAAACAGAGGTGCAATCATAAAAAAGCAGCCTAATAATTACATGCATACTTGTGTCGTACAGTGTTACAGTAGCATTTCTATTTAAGTACAGACTTATATCTAAGCACAGTACCTTTTCTACTCATATACTTCAATATACTTTCTAAATAAAACAGAAAGTGTGTCTGTGTCTTAGATCAGAGTTCCCCAGGCTTTCCAGCTTTGCGGACCAGCTGGGGTGGGGAAGAGGGGATGGTTCGGCATGAGTGGTGGGCGAGCACATGCAGGTGTGTAGCTCCATTTGCGTGAGCGGTGGGCACACCTGCATGTTGCTTGCACAAATAGAGCATGCTTGCCGAAGCTTGTCTGCTGCTCACGCAAGTGGGGATGCGTGGCCACATGCTTGCCCACCACTTCCGCGGACCAGCTCCAAAGGGATCGAGGCCAGGTAATGGGCCGCAGCCCAGGGCTTGGGGACTCCTGTCTTAGATCTTACCTTAAAATATCTTTGCTCCCTGTTAAAAGCTCTTCTCTGAGCTGAAAAGAGGCAAAACAAGTAAGTAAGTAAAGCTGGCACACAAAAACATTGTCTTAGTGTCTACTAACAAATTCAGCAGTGTAGAAAAGAAGACCATCAATCAAAAGGTTTAACAATGGTTGTAAGTTACAACAGTCTTGGGAAAAAAGTGACTTACGATCTGTACTTGCACTTACAACTGTCACACCTCCTCCATGCTCACACGATTGCAATTATTTGGGCACTTGGCAACTGGCCCGCATTTATGACCATTTGCAGCATCCTGTGGCCACATGATCATAATTTGCAACCTTTTATGCTTATTTTCAGCACACAAAAAAAGAGAGCGCGAGCAAAAATGCTCTTTGAGAAGCTTAACAACTGTGTGACTTGCTTAACGACTGCCATAAAAATTATCATAAAATTAGGTCTGACTTGATTTACAACCGCACCAATTTACAACAGAAATTCCAATCGCAATTGCAGTTTTTGAGAACTATCTGTATCACCCCTTTCCTTTGAGATATTAATTAGCAGTCCGACACTCATTCAGTCACGTGCGAAAAAAAGAGGTGCTCTGTAGGGAAGCTTGCAAAGCAGGAGAGGCACAGGGAGACATCACATAGGGAGCAATGAAGTCCAAACACTCAGCCACCTGCCTTCTCCAAGGAGTGACTAGGGCTTTGGTCAACCACCCATCAGACCCTCACAGAAAACTCGTAGTTCTTTCTGGAAATCCATTGGATCCATCAGTGGCCGGATGCAGGTTGATCAAATAGTTCACGTCCCCTTGCCAGGAAGGGTGACAAAAGTAAACCTGAAAGCAATCAGGGTGGGCTCTGCATGACAACAGACTGATGTCACAATCCTTCACTACCAGATCATGTCACAATTGCCGTAAGACAAAAACCAGATCATTTAGTCACCAGTGTGTGTCAAATCAGTGGAGACCTGGGACAAGTTTATGGTTGCCATCAGCTCCTGAGATACTCTGGACACAACATTACCAGAGGGCAAATTGAAATCCCCAAGAACCAGTAACCTCAGGGACTTCAACATCAGCTCAGTGATAGAATCCCATAGCTCCAAAATAAAAGCAGCTCAGCAGCAGAGAGGGCAGTACAACAGCTATTCCCTATTCCCTAGATCCCAACATCAACCAGAGCATCTCATATTCAATTATCTGCAGAGAATAGCCTCTGAGAGCTTTCAAAAACTCACAGATGACAACAGCCCCGAATCCATCCTCTCCTGGCTAATACAAAACCCAAAACCCAGGTGAGCATAATTCCAAGAGAGGCACACATCTCTCTGAGCCCACCCACACATCTTAGGCATGCCAGGTCGACACTCTTACCCTTGGTAAGATCATGAATGAGGGCAGCCTTGTCACATACTGAGCTGGGGGTTCAACAGCAGTAGCCAGAGCAGAGAGTTATTGAGGATCCAATGAACAGGCATCAAGAGTAGAAGACAAAGGCCAGATAGTGAGAACACTTTCAAATATTGGATCTGGTATCCCCAAGTATGGCCCACCTCCAGATTCTCATCATACCTTCCTCTGCCTGTTACCATTGTAATGTTCCTGCCCACCATCTCAACTCTCCAACTTCTTCTAGCTTTTCCCCACTTCACACTTCCTAATGAGGAAATGGCTCCTTTAATTGCTTTAGTGGAATGTAAGTAAGTAATTATCATTCCAGCACAGCATCAATGAAACAAATCCTTGTTTCTCATCACTTAAAGTACCAACCTCTGCAGTCTGGGCAGAGCCACCGACAACGTCTCTGAGATGGTAGCATCACTTCTGGGAACTGTCCATGACAGCTAGCACAGCGCCTGGAAGAAGAGATGGACTGAATCATTCCTTTTCACCCATATCATAATTCTTTGATATTCAGTTGCTTATTGCAACCTGCTTTATCATTTCAAGAGATTTTCAAAACTGCTCTCCAAAGATTTCCATTACATAACCATGTTCAGCTGTATTATCAGGAACAGTAATAACACAGCGATCATATGGTGCCAATGATTAACTTAGCAACATTTTTATGTTTGATTTGCTTTGTCATCATTCTCTGGCTGTTACTGGCTAAACAGCACAATTCACTGAAGATCTCCAGGTCAGGGGAACATGGCTTAGCTTAGGATGGAGGGTATCCTCCTGAGTATCTGCAGTAAGTATGACACCATGTTATGAACATGTCATGCTATCAAAAAAATACTACAAGCTAAGCCTTGAACACTGAGACTTATGTTCTTAATTTGTTCAAAAGATGCATATTCACATACATAACGTCACTCTGCTAAACAATTAATTCCTACAACACTGTCAAACTACTTAGTAAAGCTGTATTACTATTATTCTCATCTTTCCTATTACCTATCCTTATATTCTTATGACTATAACTTTGTTGCTTGCATCTTACAATTTATAGTTTTATTAGTAATCCTAGTATGATGTTGTTTGCTTAGCTAGTATCCTATGACTGTCACTAAGTATTGCATCTTACGATTTATTATGAACGTGTTGTATTTTATGTTTCATGATGAATGTATTTTTATGTTGATTATGATCATGATTTATTACTATTGCTTGTATATACCACTGAGAGCTTATGCACCGGAGACAAATACCTTGTGTGTCCAACCACACTTGGCTAATAAAGAATTCTAATTCTAATAACAAAAAAGTGTGACAGGCTGCTGAAATAAGATTCAAAGTATGGTTACCCAATTTTTAGCTGAAAAAAGCTTCCAAACTTCAAAGGTCTATGAATGTCCTATCCTAATGAAAATCAAATTGTCTGTTTTTAAAACATACATATCTTAAGAACTGACTATTTATTGGAGATTATCTGACTCGAACACTGATCTTCTCTTAGTCACAACATTCCTTGCCTAGACTATCTTTTCTGCTTTCATCCTATTCTAATGTATGATAGAATTTAGTCTAGCATGCACTTCTGATACTCTTCTCAAAGATGCTGTTTCTTCAAGATCTACCAATCATCCAATATCAAACACAGCGATTGCAGTCTTCTGCCCTCTTAAAAGCAATACTTGAGAATGATATTGCTAAAAAGAACAAAGAAAAATAACGTACATTTCTGAAACAACATATAAAGTATGTTTGTGCTTTATTTTTTAAAAAAGCATATCAAAGATTCAATGTCCTGTATCCTTCCTACAAAGACGGTTATTAAAAAGAGATTGATACGGTAAAAGACAAGCAGCCTACAAAGTTCTGAAGCTTTTAATGAGAGTCATGGCACAGACACAGGTGCCTGTAAACTCTTTACAAAGGGAGAGAAAATAGTTATATTCAGAGATTCACTTAAGTACACCCAAGTATTAGGGTCCAGAATTACATAATTCTGTGCTCATCTTCAGCACTGGATAAGTGGACAATTGTTGAGAGGCTGTTTAAGATGGCAAACACACTGTCTGCTCAGGTAAGGATAAAGTAACTATTTTTATCAGAATGAAAGATGAAGATAAAATCATTACCTGCATAATATTCAAGATTATACATACGAATGTCTTATTCCCTTAAAATGAATAGCACATTGCTTTGAAAACAATGATACTTACTTTGATTTTAAATTGAGATTACTAAATACTTTGTATTTGTATTTTGTTTTATTTATTTGTATTTGTATGCCTGCTTTGTATTTAATAGACATCCCACTGGGGGTAACTAAGGGCTTCCAGCTTTTAGGTATGTAATTTGGAAGCTTGAAAACACAGTCACAAAGTCTGACTTTACCATATACTTTCATTGCATTCAGAAATCCATGGCGTTGTCAGTAAGATGCGATAGATGTTCTTTTTAACATTGTGCATATTTTCCTTGGCTATACAGGTAATCCTTGAGTTACAATGCAATGGAGCCTCCCCGTCATGGCCAGAACTCGTGATGGTTATAAAACGGGTCATTCCTTTGATCAACCTGATTTTACAGCCTTTTTAAATGAATCACTGCAGGCGTTAAGCAAATCCATGGTCATTAAGCAAACGTATGGCTCCCTGGTTGCTGAGTGTTTGAAGTGCAGGTAAGTGATGGGGTGGAGGGATGGGCAATTCTCACAACTTCAAATCTGTGTTATAAGCATTCCCCCGATAGCTCCTTAGGAACTTCAAACAGTCACTAAGTGACCAGTCATATGGCAAGGACTACCTGCATATGGGTATACAGGTAGCATATGGAATTCGTTATCATATCCACAATTATGCAGCTAGAAGAATTGTTGTATAATTTTGAAAGAATTCACTCCTGATCTGCATATATAAATGTTAATATTACCTCTACAGATGCTTGAAATGGGAATGTTTATTTCCAGGGAGGGAAGAAAAAGGTTTTAATTTAATTTCACTAAGCTCTTTGCATTGCGATTACCTATTTTCTCTTCCATCTTTTTCCTTTCCTTTTCAGGCTTTGCTTTCATCATTTAGCTCAATTACTTTAATAATTATAATGAACTGTAACAAAGAAAGCAGCATTTGATTTGAAAGAGGCCTCAGGAAGTCGTAAGGATAGAATGGTACACAGTGGTTAAAGTTCTGGCTTAGAAACCAGGAGACCATGAGTTCTAGTCCTGCCTTAGGCATGAAAGCCAGCTGGGTGACTTCAGACCAGTCATTCTCTCTTAGCCCAACTCACCTCACAGGGTTGTTGTTGCCAGGAAAACAGGAGGAGGAAGAAGTATTATGTATGTTCACTGCCTTGAGTTACTTATAAAGTAATAAAAGCAGGATAAAAAACTTTAAAGAGCCAGTTTGGGTTAGTAGTTAAAGTACCAGGTGAGAAACTAGGAGACTGAGTTCTAGTCCCACTTTAGGCATGAAATCCAGTTGCGTGACCTTGGGCCAGTTACTCTCTCTCAACCCAATCTACCTCACAGGGTTGTGGTTATGGGGAAAAAAGGAGTATTATGTATGTTTGTTGCTTGAGTTATTTATAAAAATAATAAAGGTGAGAAAAATAGACAAACAAGATGGTATTTTGTCACATAGATTAAATACGTACAGAAAGAGCTTCTGAGAAGGTAGTGACTCTACAGTAATCTTAATAAACCCTCCTATATTGCATTACTTAATGTCTGGTGTTACTGCCACTGTTAGGAAAGACCATTAATATATTCAGAAGTTATTAATTTGTAATTTGTTTCCTAAATAGCAGCCCTACAAAAAAAAACAGAAATCATTTAAAAATGATGGGAAACAATGTACAGAAGTTTCAAAGTTCGGGGAGCATGCTTTTACCAACATTAATCTAATTCAAGAATGTAGACATTGATGATTTTTTTTAAAAAAAAAGTGACAAAAAACTTGCATTATTTGGGAAAGAAGACGACGTTATATCATTTTATGTCATACGCAGGGAATTAATTATGAATAATTTGATCAGAAAAATATGAAATGTATGCAGAAGCTATTTGAGCTGTTTGAACTAGACAATGTATGCCTTCTTGCCTATAGGTAGTACTTGGGCTTTTATCTCTTGTTTAGTGACTGTTACAGTGGCACTGAACAAGGGGGACCCATAACCTGTCTACAAAGTCGCAGCCATCCCAGCATGCCCATAGTCAAATGGCTGCAATTCAAGCACTTAGAAAGAAGCTCACAATTACAATGATTGCAGCCTCCCATAATCACATGAATGCCATTTGCTTCCTTCCCTGCCAGCTTCCCACAAGCAAAGTCAATGGGGAAGCCAGAAGGACGTTGTAAATAATTCCTTTTTNTTCACCCACCTGCCTACTCATGGCACCTACCCCTTGCCAGCACACCATAGCACTGACCCACAACAACTACTACACTCCATAGCACTCGTCTGTGGCACCTGTGCCCCCATTTACACATTTACACTCCATAGTGCTTGCCAACAGCAACTGCCCAGCCATTCGTACACAGCATCTGCTGCTGGCACCTGCCTGCCATACTTCATTGGGCCTGCCTGAAGCATCCATTCAACTGCTGTAGCTGTCACCTGCAACTCTTGCCCACTGACCTGTTTGCCTGGGACTCCCCCCTTTTCCCATATCATGGTCACATGAGAGCCTCAGTTAATGAACTGCATAGTCCTGAGGTTACAATGGCAGCTGAGACTTCAGGACTGCTGTTACCAAGTGATGTAGCCATGTGACACTGCGCTTTATGACCTCACTGGCTTAATGATAGAAATTCCAATCCCAACTGTGGTAACTCAAAGACTACCTTTACTTCATAAATACCTGGTAAGAATTTTTTTTAAGCTCTGATACAGAAATGTCAGTTCTGATCAAATTATTGGCTTTCCTGATACAATTTTGTAATTATCTAAATTCGATTTTAGTCTGTTTTAATCTGTGACAGAGTTGTCTTTGAGTAAAAGAGAGAAGGAGACCGTACATTTAAAACCCAAGAGATACTTATTGCAGGGAAGTTTGATAATGCATTTCAGAAACTTGAGTTTAGCATTTGGCTGGTTAATGGCTTAGCTAGAATGGAATCACTCTATCAAAATTTATATCTGAATTTAGGAGTTTTGTGTGTGTAAATTTAAGAAAAACAAACACAATCAATTGGCAACCTCCTAATTCTTTCAGATTAACTATAACTGTCCATGATTTGAGGGCTTCCATGAGGAAGCTAAGAGAGTACAACGATCTGTTGGTAATGGGACAAGGGAACTACTCACGCTATAGCTTCCTTTGGATTGCTCTCCTGCAATGTCACATCTTCTATATTTCCTGGAGAAGGAATGGGTGGAAGATGCTGCCGATAATGTCGCTTGCGGGGCTTTGATACTGGTTGATCCAAAGTAACAGGAAGCTCTGACTGTTGACTCTGCATATTGACTTGGTTCTCTCCCAGAAACTCTAATTCCAGGTCTGAAGGTTTCTGGTATAGAAGCCCCTGTCCTGGAGAAGGCTGAGGCTCTAGAAACATCTGCAAATAAGGTGGTTTCTTGGAGGGTAAGGTGGTTGTTGCCAGATGCAATAGGTGCTTTTTGCCACTCTTTTTGACCTGTTGGAGGAAGAAATAGAATGTGGTCTCTGCCCTATGACAGACTCGTGTCTGCAAATAAAAGCTTACTTCCAAGGTTAATGGCTATATAAGATCCATGCTTCACCTTCACCCAAGTGCCATTTCTGAATCCAAAGACAGGATTCCTATATATCAATTAGTAACCAAACTGTTCCATCCGTGAAAATTTTTGACCAAGGACTAAAAACCAGGGAAATTAATCAATTGTACAAGCCAAGCCATGACTTCTCCAGACCATTTGCTTTTACATTGCTTCACCCAGGCAAAGGGCACCTGTTAAGTACTTTCTCATTCAAACACTGAAATAAAACATCGTAGGACACAACTTGAAAAACCACGGGTTAGAATCTTCCCTTTGCACAGAAAGAGTGGTAAACAATTATCCTTATAGTATTTTTAATCACATGGATTTCCATTTGTAACGGTATGTGGGAATGACTTTGGGAGATAGGAGGAAGAGCCACAGCCTAGACCAGTGATAGCGAACCTTTTAGAGACCGAGTCCCCAAACTGCAACCCAAAACCGACTTATGTATCGTTGGGTGCCGGGTGGGCGTGGCCCATTGGGTGGGTGTGGCCCATTGGGTGGGCATGGCTGTAGTGGTAACGGTAAACTGGGTGGGACTAAAAAGTTCAATCAATTCCAACTTTGCGAGAGCTTTTTTTTTCCCGCGAGAAGTTGAAATTGATTGATTGAACTTTTTTTTTTTTTTGCACACGGCAGCGGAGGCGTGCCACAGGTTCGCCACCACAGGCCTAGACAAGGGGCTGATAAAACAAAATTTGAGTTGGAAGGAGGAAGAGTGGTGAAAGCATCTCAAACAGGATCTTCCTTAGTTTTTGGGGAGAGTAAAAGTGAGGAATGGGAGGGGTATTTTCAGACTTGCAAGAATGTTACCCCACTATAAAGAGAGAGCTAGTACTCCTGGTTATGGTTGTTGTCTGGATAACCTCGCAAGGCTAATATCCATGGAGAATAGGAGGCAACTAAGACTGTTAAATGATCCAGAGAACACAACTAATTTATCACTTGAGCAGAACATGTTTTGAAGGTACTTTTTGGAGGCTTCATCAAACAGCTTTCCAAATTGCTCACTAGTTAATTTCTATTCAGCCAAACAAGTAAACCAATCATGCTGATGACTTTCCATCTCTTCTGCTATATCATATTTTTCCAGTTGGCAACCAAACTACCAATCTAGATATCATAATGTTCTGGCTTGAGAAGACTATGTACACTCACCCTCTGAGGACTTCCTTCAGTAGGTGAGAGGGGTGCTGAGGGCAAGGCCTGCAACAGGAGATAAGAGGCAGAGAAGACAGTTAACCTTAATATATACTATCACTGCTACTAGGCATTATAGTCTAGTTATTTGTTCCTAGTTTAGGAAGTCAACTAATATATAAAATAGAAATTCAAGCATCCTTCAGCCGATGGATCACCTCAACTATTGACTTTGTAGCAAAACTAATTAAGCATGGTCTTTCCCCCATAAGACAAGGATAACAGATGCTCAAAGAAAAGGATCATCTTGTACAAGTGGAGAAAGATCACCAGTAATCATAGATCAACTACTACAGGTAGTCCCAACTTACAACCATCCATTTAAAAACCACTTACAATGGAAATTCTGTTCCAAATGTAATCATAAATTGAGGATTATCTGTATATCTCAGATTAAATTATCTCACAAAGTAATTATGAAGATAAAATATAGGAAGGGCCGGGCACAAACAAAATAAACATAAATTTAAAAAAATCTACTCTGGAAAAATAAACAACAAAAATACTTAAAAATCTGGGATTAATTGGAAGGTGGCAGCCATATGACTCTGACCAGAATTCACAGCAACTAATTAGGCTATCACAGCCAGTGTTACCTATAATAATACCTCTGTGTTTGGCTCAACAAAAATTCCTCTCCTGTAATCAAAATCAGTCAGATCCCGTGAGCATCCCAGCAATCTCAATAACTCCACTCTGCTGCGGATCTTCTCTCCTCTGGGGCTGAAGAAGAAGTGAAGCTATTATTAGAAACTTTCAGAAAAAAATACAATGAAAATAAGAACACCTGATCTGAATAAATAGGAGGCAACAGGAATTCAAAAGCCACCTTATATCAAATTTCCATTTTCTGAAATAAGTTCTATTAGAAGACCAACGTGGATGCTAAAAATGAACCAAGGTCTTTGTTAGTATATATAATTTCAGGCTTTATGGGAAGCAGGTCACCTAATATCTTAGCAACAGTAACCAAGAGTTCTGTCTTATTGTTCCCAAAGAAATAATACTAGGAACCATCTGCCTTTACCTATTTTCAGAATTCATTTGATCTTCAAGAACCATCTCCTATCCTCACAGTCTTTAAGAATCTTTAGTTGCTTAAGAGCACAGAATATAGTAGGGGGGAAAAGACAAAATTAATATAGACCCTTTCTCTATGCCCACCTCTTCTGCTCCTCATCCATCCCTGGCTAGAAATCTCTTATTTGGTCTTCATATCCAATTATAATTATATCTAGTTGACCTCATCTGGGCTCAGAAACTGAATTGGATTCGTTGATTGCTACATGGATGGGAGATCAACAAATACAACGGATGGAGATTAGACTGGGAGGTTAGAAGGTATACCCATACTGTTTCTAAAAAGCTTGACATGTTCATAAAGTGTTCAGGAGTCAAGATAAACTTAAAGTAATGCTTAGCCTTAATGTAATGTGTATATATTTCCCCCTTGGATCTATCTTTATATAGTTATTTTTCTCGGTGGTGGTGATGGACATAAAGATAGAAGAGAGTTGATTTCCAAATTGGTGTTTTTCGCTAACATTTTGACTCTCTAGTAGGAGAAACTGACCTAGGCTGTATTACTGAACGCCAAGAACCAGGATAAATTAATACATTCTTAATTATGCTGTATGTGGACTTCCAGAGGAAGAAATGGCAGACTTAAGATGGCTCCATGAAAAATGGACTATGGTGAGCAATAAAGAGCTGGTGAGTAGACCCAGTCTTTGAAACTCTCTAAACAAATAGAGGATGAGAAATCACCCACAAGTACTCCAGACAGTTGCTCCTCCGAAGGAGACTGCAAGTGATCAAAGACCTAATTACACTCGCCACATATGAACACATTGCCTGTAGATGTAGACTTTATATTTATTTATACACAATAAAGTAGTTTAAAATAAACCATGATAATTATATAAGTGTATTAGAAGTAAATGTATACATATTTGCATATTTGCGTCATATAAAATCAAAACTGTTTATCATTATAATACATTATATTTTGATTCCTTTTTCCTTTTTTATTGTATTTTTTCACCTTTTAAAAGCACTTGTTATGCATTTTTTCCTTTTGGTGATGTGGTAATTTTCTTTGTGTTTTGTTTCTTTTTTTCTGTTATTATTTTTTTAAATAAATAAATAATTTTAAAACTTGGAAACTAGAATACATAAACCTGATTAACAGCTACAGAAAGATGCAAAATATTATAATATTGGAGGATACTGAAGAATACTTAATATCAACAATGTCAAAAACAATGTTGGGTTCTATGGATAAACCCATGGATATGTCCAAAAGATGTTTTGGAAAAAAGTTTTATCTGAGAAGACAGTGATTAGGTTAGTAGTGAAAGGAGATCTACAAGTGACAGGCTACATGAATGACATGGAAAAAAAATGTTTTGGTTGGACATACAAAAGAAATCGGTTGATTTTTTTTAAAAAATCAAAAGGCAATTATAAATAATAAACTAAGTGAGTAACCTAGATAATTATTTTACATTGGATTTACAAAAAAGGGTTTCTTAAAGCTTGGATGAATCTTGGGGTAAAAAAAAAATCAAAGTAAACCAAGTTCTGTGACACAATTTGAATGAATTAAAGATTACAATTGTTGGAAATAAAAGGAAGAAATATAAAGTTGCTTTATTTGATCAAAATTAATATAAATGTGTTATTTCTGGCAATATTTAATGAACTGTTGCTGAGAGCACAACTGACATGACAATGCTTTATTTGTTTATTGATTTTTATATTTGAAATAAAGGTTGGAAGTGTCTTCTGTATAGTTATTTTCTTCTTTACTACATTCTTACTTTTCTTTCTTTTTTCTTTCTGTTCTTTACTTTTTTCTTTTCCTTTATACTTTTTACTCTTTTTTCTACTCTTCTCTTAGTTCGCATTAACCTTTATTGTTGCAATTAAATTCTTTAATAATTTTTTTTAAAAAAATTGTGGTATACTGTTGTCTTTAATATGCCTGGCGTTCTTTGCAGATATGGCATATAATAATTATAATGGAACTTCTATAGAACATTTACATGCAATCTCTCAATAATCACTACAACAATTCTCCAGGTAACCATATCTGTCATACAGAGTAGGGAAACAAGGTAGAATAATAATTATCAAGGGACAATCTAGTACATTCTAAGTCAAAAAGATACAGGAGTTTAAGTTTGCTGATGCAATATTCTTTGTTCCAATCAATTTTTTATAGAATTTAGGGAACTCTCACATATATGACAACCTTAGATGAAGTAGAAAAAACAAGTAAGAGCAACAATTCATGGTAACAAATGACAACAGTATTTCTCTGAATGGAGAAGACAAATGTTTGGAAACAGACCAGATGACAATTGTTGCCCTGAATAAATTGAGCAACCATGAAACTCCAGAATGCTTCTCACCCTCAAAGTTTACCAAATAAATGGTTTGGAAAAGATTGAACGCTTTTGCCTAGGGATGAGAAACTTGTATCACTATCCTTTTCCCCATGTGATTCCAAACAGAATTACCTTATATAATAGGTGTCTGAATGTCCACTCCTTGTTCCACTTTTGCGCAAAACTTCACGACGTTTCCAGCCAGGGCCCAAGGAGGGACAATCTACCCAGCCGTCTGTCATGTTTTCTGCTGGGATGGAAAAACCATTGAAAAGGCCCTAAAATGATAGAGAAATTGAAGGGTCATAACAATGACGTTGAAGGAGAACTTACAACAAAATTTTACAAATATGCAAATTATAGGAGGAAGAGGAGGAAGGATATACGGATATGCAAATTATAGGGAGAGAAGGAAGAGAAACAAGATGGAGGAAGAGGAGGAGGAGGGGGGATATATGGATTTGCAAATTATAGGGCGGGAGGAGGAGGAGCAACAGTAGCAGAAGCAGCAGAAGCAGCAAAAACAGAAGATTCATTACCAGCAATAAAGTATTCAGTGATGCAGAACTGGAAGAGATTTAGGAAAATTGTGAAAATGGAAGACCCCAAAGCAACCTCCCAGGACACATCATAGAGCAGGGCTTTTCAACCAGTGCTACGGGTACCACCTATGGTACATTGGCACCTGGCAGGTGGTACGCGACCATCCTAGAAAAGTGGTAGTGGGGGAGGGGAATGAGCTGAACCAGTGGCAGCAGCGCACAAGCCTGAGTGAGAGATGGCTGGAGCTGCAGCGCTGTCAGGGCTCAGCAGAAGCATCAGGATCAGTGCATCTTCGGGGCTATCAGGGCTTAATGGAAACGCCAGGATCAGCGCCAGGCTCCAGCTGGAGCTCGGCGCTGATCCTGGCACTTCTGCTGAGCCCAGAAGAAGCGTCGATCAGCTGGAATGTTGCAGCATCTCCAGGGTCTTGTGATTTACATTCAGATGCTTGGCAACTGATTCATATTTATGATGGTCACAGTGTCCCAGGGTCATGATGTGAAGTGACCAAAACCTGCTGCAACCACCCAGCAGACGGGGGGGATAAAAACCAAACACCCACCACCCCACCTCCGCTGCCAATCCTCAACAGAAATGCTCACAACAATGAAAACCTAGGACAGGAGGAGAGTGCCGCCGGGCAGGCAGGTGTCTTGCTCGGCTGTGGCTTGGGGGGCACTTTTTCCAGTGCCATTGTAACTTCGAACAGTCATTAAGCGAACTGTTGTAAGTCGAGGACTACCTGTACTTTATTACTTCCCCCCCCTTTTTTTGGGTCATCAAGTTTTTGATACCTTGCTAGGTGACTGGTGGTACTCAGATATTGCCATATCCTAAAAGTGGTACAATGCGTGAAAAGGTTGAAAAGCCCTGCTCTACAAGAATCTGAACTATTAACAGTTAAGGAAAATAGGCGGTAGATAAGAGTCAATGGAATTCAAGGTGGGCTGGACTTAGAATTCTTGTGAGCTCAAATGCTTTTGACCCCTTCCCCTCAGTTTGGTCATCTCATACAATATCATTTCAAAAACTGTAAAAGTAAATTCCCAGACGGGCGTATTGCAAGCCAATTAAGACAAAATCTCTTTGAAGCATTCCTTTCCTACACCTCCCACATTTGGGCTCTCCTGCCTCTTCTCACATCAATTAAACTGCTCCCATGTCTGCTTCCCATATCTCACAATGCTGCAATAACTGCAACAGAGAAGCAGGTGAAAAATCAAATTTGACTCTCCCACAAGATTCCTGATGGAAAAAATTGGCAGAATATCTGTGGTGTTATCAAAAACTATTCTATTCTGATGGCAGCAATCAAAAAAAAACAGATGGAACTTTTAGGATTCAAGTTCTCAAGTTGGGGCTAAAGAGAAAATGAACTTTAACTAGTAGTCTAATGAACAGCCTATTTCTGTGGCCTTGAACAAAGTTCAGAGAAACAATTTGCATGCTGCTAAAATTTGGAACGGAGTATAAATTTGAAAAAGAGAACTGATGACAAATACTGCCTTCAGCTCACCTTCTTGCCAGTATTCTCAATATTCAATATTAGGGTCAGTGTTTAACTGCAGAAAAAGAGGCTATGACATGGGCATCTAGCAATCAATCATTCATCCATATAATACCAACTATAATAAATGTAAAGGGAACTGTTGATCCATTCAAGACGTATAGGATGGAAATCAGGCCCCACTGGCCAATTGCAGTAAGTTTTACTAATTTTTTCAGGGAAAGTGTTACTTAGAAATATTAAAAAGACGTATAAGTAAGGAAGTATTTAGAAATGGCAACCAATTCAAACATTTAAGATAGTTTATGTAACAAATTGTCTATCAGGCTTTGTCTACATGGCTTGATTTTTGACACACCTTAAATGCTTTAAAAAGTCATGTAAACATCTAAATTCAGAGATAAATGAAGCAGAAATTTAGAATTTAATAGCAATAGATTCTTCTGCTGCTGTGGAAAAATATTTTTCTTTCAAGTTATTTATTCAAAACTGAAAACAATTTGGTAACAAAAAACATGAAAATATGTGTATCTTTTTCAATGATGCATCATCATCATCCAATTGTTCTGACTTGAATTGCCCATTTAAAAAAAATATTTAATTAAATAGTTGGTAAAAATGCATGTGATTGATTTTTCTTAAAACAATTTATACATATTTGCTTGCTGAAGAAATATCCAAAATAAGCAAGACGAATTTGGATATTCTATTACCTGTGTTGGAAACTAAATCTAGCTTAGTTCCTTCTTACAATTTCATAATTGTATCTGCTCGGTATGAAACATCACTGAACATTTTAAATTGAAAATTAATTAATATTTATCCAATGTAATGAAACCTGCATCAAACTTTATCTCAAGCAGCTTACACAGTTTCATTTGAAACATCATCATCTTCCAAGGTAGTGAAAAAAATTACAATTTAAACAATTGATATGGCTTTTCCCAAATAGTGTTTTAATCAACTTCATTTTAATTCATTGATTTAAAACATGTTCACTCTAATTCCACAATAGGAATTTAATCTAGGCATACCCCCCTGTGGAATTTCAGGTTGACCAAACCTGAAAGATCAATGGATGTTCTTGGAAGTCTAGTTAAAGATGAGTCTGGAAGCTGCAAATATATGCCAACCCCAAAAATCCAATGAATGTTTTTACCAAACGTAACCCTTTTCTATGCTGTTCCCTGAAATCTGGTTTTGACTATATCTCACAAGTTCAGAGCCAACATGTAACCGTATCTGCTATCTTTTCCATTTCTCCTGCATGGTATTCCTGATATTGGGCAGCTTGTTGGAATTGTTTACCATATCAGATTTTCCATAACTGTTGATCCTAGGTCTTGGTTACCTCCAGCTCCCACCACATCTGACATTTAACATAACTTTTCTTGGTAACTTCCTTTTCTATGCTAGGGCTCCTGACCTCTTTCTTGAAAGATGTCATTCTTGGAACTTACTCCTTATCTCAACTCTATGTGTTTGACTGCCTATCTATTCAGACCAGAGGAAAGAGGCCACCAAATTCAAAGGCAAGAGTGAGGTAAATCTTTAATGACATTAAAGTCTAGACGTCTCAATATGTTACGCATAAGGAATATGTGTAACTATTGTATCAGAAAGATGCAATACAATGCAAACAAACAGACCATCATAGTGTTCATTAAAAAAGAGAAAGCTGTGCATTGAACAAGCTGTCAGAATCTATTTATCACACAGTTTCTTCTCCATTCCAGATGGATTCAAGCGTATTGTTGCTCCTAAACACACAGTGGTCAAGTCAACTTACCCAGCATTTCATTTAAATATTTATGGACAGTTGACAGAAGTGAAAGAAGAAAGCTTGGGAAAACCTAGGTGGAAGGAGGAGTCCCATTTGAATCCTAAATATTTCTTTAAGTTGTAGAGAAGCCACCCAGTGAGTAGGTTCAAGCAGCAGAGCATTTTCCAAAGAAATGAAACAGAAACAGATTTCTCATCTCTTTTCAGTCCTACCACAATCAGTATATTAGATAATCAGCAGCCTCACTTAAAAGGAGCTAAATTTCAATGTGCCATGTATTACTGAGAGTTCTTCCTGATCACCGACATCCCTTGTTTTATACTGTGCTCACTTGAGTTCCACCAAACACTGTTCCAAAGGTTTTTGGCTTGCTTCCATAATGATAAAAGGTAGATTTGTGATCATTTCTCCATGAAAATAAAGAGATTAACTACATTAATCTGAGTGCAGCTCTGACACCAGCATAGCACCTAGTAGAAACCAACAGGATTATCATTCAATGGCCATAAAACATTCCTGTCGGGCTATGGTAGCTAGAAAATTCTAGCCTAATTTGACAGACTTGTTTGAACAGGAGAGCAAGAATAAAGAGATAAAAGGAGTTTCAAGTCTCCTGTTTTGGGATGCAAAAGAACATGAAACGTCATCAGATCCGACTTGGTACTTTGTGCATTCTTCATATTCATATTACACCTACTTCCTCAAAAACTCTCAATTATTTTCTTTGATTACCATTTCCTGGAATATAATAAAGAAATAATTTCTAGTTCTCTCTCTGAATGTGGGAACCTGGCAACTAAACTGCACAAAAACCAGAAAGAGAAAAAATGCACAGAATATTCCCATATGGTAGCAATACTCCAACGGACCACCAGCTATATCATGTATACAGACCAAATAAAATTTGGGCATAGCTTTGATAATATTTAATAGTATTGTCTATTATATTTAATGGTTATTACATTCTTTCTAAAACACAGTGCCCAGAATCATATGCAATATTCAACATGAAATCTGACCAACAGTAAAACATATTGGTTGAACAATTACAAGCAGTCCTCCATTTACAATAATTCGTTTAGTGACCATTTGAAGTTACAACAGCACTGAAAAAAAGTGACTTATGACTTATGCAACGACTGTTGCAGCACCCCCATGGTCACGTGATCAAAATTCAAATGCTTGGCAACCGACTTATATTTATGACTTCAAAGAATTTTGTACTTCAAAGCACACCAAACAAACCGCAGCTCTGCCTTGGGAGTCTTTCAGGAGGAGAAGAATGCTGCAATGTTCTTCTGTTGTTTAGCAACAGAAAATTTTGGCTCAATTGTGATCATATTTCTTTTCATCTAGTCACAGCTTATTGCAAGGAATCCTTGCTTAAGAACCCCAATTGAGACCAGCAACTCAGTCATTAAGTGAAGCCACAACTGTGCTTATGA